GGGTTTTTGGATTTTTGGGTTTAGGGTTTTTGGTGTTTTGGGTTGTTTTGGGTTTAGGGTTTGGGGTTTAGGGTTTAGGGTCGAGGGATGCCAGGAGCTACAACAGACGTCGGGTGCGGGGCCACCAAGGACAAAGACGGACTTCAGAAAAGAACCTCGGAGAGGGCCGGGCCCCTGCACACTTGAGATGTGCAGGGGGGCCTCCGCGAGACACCCCACCTTCACAAAACAGCAGCCAGCAAGCCAAAGAGGGAGGAAGAGCCGCTCCCAGATCTGCGACACTCGCTTTAGTTTCCTAAGGAACCTATACCCTAAACCCTAAACCCTAAACCGCTTTAGTGCCGAAAGCTTCCCCGAGGTGGCAGAGCTGGGCATCTTCGGAACTTTCGTGGCTGACGGCGACCGGGTGCTTCGCAACGAGGCCGCCCGAAGATCTAAGACGCCCGCGGGGTGTATAGGGTTTAGGGTTTAGGGGGATTATAGGGTTTAGGGCTTATAGGGATTATAGGGTTTAGGGATTTATAGGGTTTAGGGTTTAGGGATTGTAGTGGGTATCAGTAAAGAAAACAGACCAGAAGAATAGAAGCTACAAGAATCGAAGCCACCTCCTCTCAGGGATCGTATCTACGAGAGTTTGTGTTTAACGAATACTTTGACCTGCTTCCTGACTCCAATGTCAAGCTTGCAGGTTTGGCTTTTCAAAAGCACGGGCTCAGGAGACCCTCAGCTGGCTCTCAGTTTGAAACCTCACACCCTAAGACTTGCATGCTTCGGAGCAGACTCTCGCACTTTCTCTCAACCGGAGGAGATCTGAGGCCAAAGCCCTAGTGGTCGAATATAGGGGGTTTCTTAAATTCAAGGGTCCCAGTTTTTAGAAACTGCCATATTATGTTCCCGCAGCTTCATGGAGTTGTGGGGCGCTTCCTGTGGTCGCTTCAAAAATGAAACACTGCACGGTTGCACGTCACACCCAGGGAGTTGAGGTGCACTGTAGGACGTGTCTTCAGCTTTCACCAGAGCTTGCTAGGTTAGGACCGCTTCCTGGGTCTTCTATGTTTTTGTACCATGATCATCGGCTTCTCAGACGGAAGTTGTCGGAGCGGCTTTTGCTGACAGGCTGCCGGCCACCTCGTGCGCTCGAAGGGACAGAGCCTTTCCCTGTGAAGAGGGGGCCTTTGCTTTGCTCGTGGGTTCATGCAACTTGTGCTGTTCAGCTGATGTACCTGCATGCTTCTGTCTTCCCCTTAGACATAGGATTCTGGGAGAAGAAGGTCTTTGAGCAACATGAAGTCTGCACCGGGAGCCTTGCTGTTGTGTACCGACGTCAGCCAGCGTTTCATGCAGCTTGTGTGCATAACAAGGCTTTTCCGTGCATCCGTCTCGGAGCCCCAACCTCTTTTCAGGAAGACGAACCAGGGCGGCGTCTTCGTGGGCAATGCGAGGGCCCCAGAATGTGCGCAACGCAAGGCAAAGATCCGAAGCTCAATGCAAAGTACTACGTCACAGCGATGCAGTCATGTGCATCGTCAGCATAGTCCTAGCATGTCCTAGCTTTTGCAGTGCATGTATGCGTAGGAGCATGCATGCATGCATGCATGCATGCATGCATGCATGGGTACCACGAACGAACACATACATGTAAGAGGCACTACAACGCACATCTACATCTGCGTATATGTATGCATGCGTGCGTGCATGCAATGCGCACATACATAATTCATTCGCACATATGTAGGTAGGTAGGTAGATAGGTAGATAGGTAGATAGGTAGATACATCCGTCCATGCATGCATGCATACAAGTGTTACAAGAATACATGCAGGACACGGTTACATACAAAAGTACAGACACACGCACAAATGCAGATAGACATGCATGCGTTTTGCCAAGGCATACATGCATCCATCCATCCATCCATCCATCCATCCATCCATCCATCCATCCATCCATCCATCCATCCATCCATCCATCCATCCATCCATCCATCCATCCATCCATCCATCCCTACATACCTACATACATACATACATACATGCATACATACATACATACATACATACATACATACATACATACATACAGACACACACACACACACCTGCTCACACGCGCGCACACCTACTTACCTACTTACCCACATACCTACCTACTTACTTACCTACCTACCTACCTACCTACCTACCTACTTACCTACCTACCTACCTACCTACCTACCTACCTACCTACCTACCTACCTAGCTACCTACCTAGCTACCTACGTAGCTAGCTAGCTAGCTACCTACCTACCTACCCCTACCTACCTACCTACCTACCTACCTACCTACCTACCTACATACATAAGAAACATGCATCATGCATGTTGCGAATGTACATGCACATGCAGCCCTCAGCTGTTACAAGCCTAGATGGCATCTGGGTATCTGCGTATGATCGTGTACATGCCGATCCACGTAGGTACTCGCCTTGCTGTGCATATGTAACTTCCGGTCTCCATTTACGTATATTTCGAAGTGTACTTTTCTTTGCTCATCATCCTTGTGATGGCGTTCAGCTCGACATCATCACCAATATAACGACAACCGCACCAAGAAGCTGTCGAGACATCATGTCGTACTTGCTAAGGTCGGCTTGAGCCTTCAGTGTTTATGTGCACATGCAAAGGTTCGTACACATGTAGACATGCAGCATGCATGCAGGTTTCTGACATCGCTGCATGACAAAGTGTAAGCACCACACATACACTGCATGGATGCAAAGGTACATACAGATACTGTGCAATATGCATTTACACAGTGTAGACGAGCTGACAGTTCGTACCCACAAGTATACAGTATGTGCATGTGCATACCCACACGTATGCACACTCACATGCACATGTATGCATACATCTATACAGCTGCTGCGTGAGAAAGGGCTGATGTTTAAGCAACTTTGAGCTGAAACTAGTGTTTATGCTGCATGTCCTGGCGAGATGGACATGCAGCCTGCTTCCTTCCGATTCTGCACCCCTCTGCGATCGCACGGTGATCTTTCCGTGTAGTGGCTCAGGATTCCAAATCTCAGCGAGAGACGAACTCAAGGCCTCGGCCCTGCCGGTGCCCATCTTCCAAGTCGCCGCCATGCCGCAGCAGTCCGAAGCACCACTTCTCATGCACCTCACGGAAGTCCCTGGCGGCTGGCCCCTCGCGACCGTCATCGACGCCTTCGCCCACTTGGCTTCCTGTCGTCCAGGTCAAGCTGGTCCAGACCGAGCTCGCGAGGCGGTGAGCCGGCGGCTGGTGGAGTTTTGGGCCTCACAGCCGGAGGAGGCCGAGGCCTGGCTCGAGCGGTGCCGGGAGCGCTTCGCAAAAGAGCTCGCAGGCAAGGAAACGAGACCGGAGCAGCTCTTCGAGGCGCTGCTCCGGCACGGGGCGGCCGAGCTCGGCAAGCACGGGCCGTACGCCTGGCGCCTCTCCGAGGCCGGGCTCCTGCGAGGAGCGCCGCATGGCTCAGCAGCGCAGCGGGAGCAGTGGGCGGCTTCGTACCTGCAGTGGCCCCACGTCCGCGACCGCTGCCGGGAGCTCGCGGAGCGGCTCCTGGCGGCCGAGAGCCCGGAGACGGCGCGGAAGCGGCAGAAGCTCGAGGAGGAGACCTCCGAGCGCCGGCGCCTCGAAGCGGAGCTCCAGAAATCGCAGGAGGAGTGCCGAGATCTGCGCAATCGCCTGGCCGCGGCCGAGGCGGGGTTGTCCAGCAAGGAGGCGGAGCTGCAAGCTGCGCAGAACGAGAGCGCTGAGTGCAAGGAGCAGTGGGAGGAGCTCAGGTGCCGTGCAAGAAGTGCGGAGTCAGCCTTGGCGGAGACGCGGCAGGAGCTCGAGCAGGTGCACGAGCGCTGCGCGGATCTTTCGACTCGTTTGGAGGCGGCAGAGGTTGAAGTTGAGCATGCTAAGGCCCAGGAGCGTTTGGCGCACGATGCCACCGAAACGCAGTTGGAGGACACCCTGGCGGAGATGCGGACAGAGCTGCAGCAGGCGCAGGACAAGCATTGCAAGTCCCAGGAGCGCTGCGGAGATCTTGCCGCTCGATTGGAAGTGGCAGAGGCAGGAGCAGTTCCGCACACGAGGACGATGGAGCGTCTGGCTGAGGCCAAATCCGATGTCGTTGCAAAGCAGGTAGATCTGCAGCAGCTGCAAGACGAGAGCTGCGGCTACCAGGCACGCCGCTTCCCTTTTTCGGCAGAAGAGGGGGAAAGCAAAGCTGAGCTGCAGCTGGAGAAGGCAGTTCTGCAGGACAGATGTGAGCAGCTCAGGCAGCAGCTTGCCAAGGCAGAGGCGAAGGTGGATCTTCTGCAAGGTCTGCGGGAAGAGATCGGCATGTACAAGGAGCGTCTCCGTGGGCTGGAGCGCCCGGTTGTTGAGACCAAGAAGAGCCAGCGTTCCTGTGGCGCCATCTCGGGTCGTCCCTCCATGAGCCATCCCGGCCCAGCTCGCAGCCATGTGGCCTTCGGTGATCAGGAGTCGGAGCTTGCCGAGCAGCTGGGGTACAACCTTGTGGATGAGGACCGAGCTTCAGTCCTGAGTGGGACCTCCAGCTACTCGGTGAAGCAAGACTGCTTCATGCTGGATGCTGTCTTCAAGAGCCGCATGGACTTTTTCAGCGAGGGGAGGGACCTCCACAAAGGTTCGCAGGTCTTGGCTGGCGATGGCAAGACCGTTCTGGAAGTGGTCGAGATCTCGAAGGAAGGGCAGGCGACGGAAGTGGTCGATTTGCAGGCGGGCGCTGCAACACTGCGGGTGACCCCGGACCATCCCGTGCAGGTCCCCGACGAAGGTGGCGAGGCGGGCCGGCACCTTTACATGCCGGCGGGCAAGCTAAAGGCGGGCGACTTCGTGATGCTCGACTCGGGGGAGCCGGTTGCACTCACCAGTGCAGAGACCCAGCCCGCGGAGTGCAAGGTCTTGAAGATCGTCTTCAAACCGGACTTGCCTGTGGCCGTGTTCTCCAGCCCATCCTGCATCCTCAGCAAGGGACACAAGAAGAAGTCGCAGGTGCGCCGCAGTGGCATGGGCGGGAGAGGCAAGGAGGCGGCCGATCCGACGGATGGAGGAGCCTCGATTCCGGACACGGCGGCCGGAGAGTACATGGACTGAGCCTACAAAAGCCAGCGCGGCTCGATGTACTGAAGCTCTTCTGAGAGCCCGAGAATTCGCAGAGTTCCGCAACGCCTTTCTTGCAGCTGAGCGCACGGCTCCCTGGCCAGTGCCTATGGCAGTTGCTTTGAGCATGTCGTTGCCCTATAGCACGTCGGAGTGCAGCGCACGCGATCCAAGGTTACATAGTTACATATCACTGTAGTTACATAGTTACATAGTTACATAGTTGCATAGGCATAGTTACATATATAAATAGTTAGGCATCATACTGGGCAGGTAGATCAGAAATGCACACAGCAAAAGTGTCCGTCGCCTGTGGGAAGTTTTCCTTGGAGCAACTGCAAGACGCCCGGATGTAAGCTTGGATTCGAAGTGCCTGCACCGCTTCAGACATTTTTCAATCTCGCCTGCGCTGTTCACGCAATTTTGCACTCCCTTCGCAGAAGACGGCAGGGTGCAGCTTCGACTTTCGGGAGGGAGGTCAGCCTTGTTGCTGAGGGTTGTGGAGGGAGCCGAGTGGTCGGACTTAGAAGCTCCTTTCTAGACAAAAGTTGACTGCGGTAATCTGCTGCTTATAAAGCGCATTCTGTCTGGCAAGACCTTCTGTTTCGGTGAACGCGCCGGCTTGAGGCCACGGATTGCAAGCAAAAGTGGACGCCTCCACATGCCGAGCTTCTCGTTCGAAACATCCTGTCACACATCGGGCCTTCTTTTCACCCTTGAACGTGCTCATGAGTTGCTGAAGAGTCGGCCGTCGCCTGCCGCTGCACCCGAGGCGACGGTGGACGTGCCGTTCCTGGTGCCCAGCGACATCTTCTGGCAGTCGGTGAAGCCTCAAAAGGCTTAGGACGCAGGATCCTGGAGGTGAGGTTGGGCGTGGTAGGCCATGGAAGTAAGCTGATGTCACCCTAAACCCTGAACCCACTTAGTACAAGGTTCAAGGACAGTTTGGTCTAAGACCTCGGCTTGAGAGTGTAGGAGTTCGGAGTGATTCGGAGTGCTTCTTTCTTTCTGAGTCCTGCGCAGGGAGGTGCAGGAAGTATGCGTGGATGCAGGACCTAGGCCGCAGGATCAAGAGGAAGCTTCAACACGCTGACTTGCCTGCCATCGTTTGAAAAAGTGTGTGCTGAGGCTTGTCGAACGTTTGGGATCCACTGTGACTCAGCCCGAAACATCCGACTCGATGCTGCAGTCCTAGGCAATAATATGACAATAGTCTTGAAACTTTCTACAACGTCGGTGTCAAGCGACATGTTTCGGGCGCCGAATTTCGGGCCGAGGGTTTGTGAACCCTTTGTCGGCGTGTTTGTTTCAGGTCCCAATTTAGGCATCCCAGACACGGCCCTGGTTCAGATCGTGGTCGAGCCCCACATGCTCTAGAAGCCTCAGCGAAGAGCATGAGGGTTCGGAAATATGTGCTCCTTTAACACAGCCTTTGATGCGAATATCCCAGGATCATTGTAATACACCACCTCTACACATGTTACTCGGACCCGTATGCCCTGACACCCCAGACCTGCTGGTCGGATTAGAGTAGGGGTTTTCGGGCACAGCATGGCAAAGGGGCAAAGATGTGTGGTGGTGGCGGGAAGCTGATATACACCTCCATTTGTTTCGACTGTGCGAGGCTGGTGGAACCCATCGCATGAAGACTTTCCCTGTCTTGTGGCCCAATTTCAACCGTAGCCGTAGAAGGCTGTCTTGCAAGACTCTTGGAGGATTTGCCGAAACCCACCCGGGCTTCGCATGGACCTCCGGAAGCCCCTTTGCACAGCCTCACGCCGTTCTTCTCAAGCCATGTCGTGCAGGTGCTTGAAGAAGCCTTGCCCAAGCTTCAGCATCCTACTCTAGAGACCCTAAACCCCAGGCCCTAGACCCATAGGACCCATAGTAGTTCCTTTTGGGGATTACCTATAATATTAATTGGATCCTACTCTATAGAGCTATGGACCTTCGATCCGTAGAGTTTCTCGAAGCCTTCGCCGGAATCCTGCGGCATCCCCGGGTCCCCAGATTAGGGTTTAGGGTTTAGGGTTTAGGGTTTAGGGTTTAGGGTTTAGGGTTTAGGGTTTAGGGTTTAGGGTTTAGGGTTTAGGGTTTAGGGTTTAGGGTTTAGGGTCTTAGATCTTAGCACTCAGCGCTCTGGAGAACTTAAGCCCTGAAAGCCTCAGCGGCGCTTGAGCCCGAAGCAGAGAATCCCGGCTCTGTCTGAAGAGCTTTGGGTTTGGGGGGTACGGTTTGGGGTTTAGGGGTTAGGGGTTTAGGGGTTAGGGGTTCGGGTTTAGGGGTTAGGGTTTAGGGTGCAGGGTTTAGGGTGCAGGGTTTAGGGTTTAGGTCCGGCCGCACTGCGAATGCCGCCTGTGCGAGATGAGACCCCAAGTCATCCCAGACAAGGCTCGGAAATCAGAGCCGGCACACTTCTCAAGTAACGTAGGGGGCCAATAAATACCTATACTATTTTAGGGGCTCCTGATTGTACTTAGGGCCCAAAACCCTATTCTAACTATCAAGGCCCCTACATTAGGATGAAGGCTGAGTGTGTTTTCAACTGACACACCTCTTGAGGCTGCAGTGCTGTACCCGTGGGGCGTCACTCATCGTCTTCCATCGTCCTGACTCCCGGCCGCGAAACCCCAAGTTCCTAAACCCTAAACCCGAAAGACCCATGGGCCCCATAGTAGTTCCTTTTTGGGATTACCGAATAGGATCCTAAATACAAGCCACAAAAAGGAACGACTATGGGGC